CTGGTCTTACACTAGAACTCAGGAGACAATGTGGAGGGCTGGCCAGGGCCAGGGCCAGTGGCCTACTTGTGTGTCAGGTACCTGGGGCTGGGCTTAGCTACTTTCAGACAAGGAAGAACAAGTATCCTGTGAACTTGTCTGTTTTTGAGGATTAGCATTTCTATTGCAGTTCACTCTGAAAAATCTCCATCTTATTTTACTTTAATTGAAGAGAAAGAACAGACTCCAGCAGAGAATGAGAGGAATGAACACCAGGAAGGCCCACTGTAGCGGTAGGGGCAGCTCGGCCAAGGAGTGAGGAATCAGTTCAGGTGGGAACAGTGGAAAGGAAAGCAGTCAGCCACAATTTCTCATTCCCTCCTGCATCTCCTGGGCCCCACTGCACCAGAGCTTGTTTTTGTCAGAAGCTTTATGCTTTACTTTTTTTTCTTCAAAAGGAAAAAAGTGAGAAGGTTATGTTATGTTAGGTCAAGAAAAAGGTTTTGAACATAGAGACCACATTTTTTGCTTTTAATATCCTGCCAATCAAGGTGTCACACTAGCTGATGGGTGGGTCCTAACATGTCATAGAAGAAAATCACCTTTTATTATAGTTCTACAGAGTACATGGGGGAGAGGATTAAAATGACAAATCAGAAGGGCCTATTAAAAGAAATTATAGCCAAAACCGGTTTGGCTCAGTGGATAGAGCATCAGCCTGCGGACTCAAAGGTCCCAGGTTTGATTCCAGTCAAGGGCATGTACCTTGGTTGTGGGCACATCCCCAGTAGGGGTGGTGCAAGAGGCAGCTTATCGATGATTCTCTCTCATCGATGTTTCTAACTCTTTATCCCTCTCTCTTCCTTTCTGTAAAAAATTAATAAAATATATTAAAATAAATAAATAAATAAATAAAAGAAAATATACGTCAAGTATAATAAAAGTAGTATGAGTTCTCAAAGGTATATAGGCTATGCTTTTTATCGTGTACAATTACACAAAAACAAGGGAATGAGCATGGAAAATGTGAGCTGGTCAGAGGGGGTGAAGCAAGAGTCCAAGCCTACATGGAATGCAGTGAACACGAAGCGATCTCATCCACTGCAGAGGGCACTGCGATGTAAGAAGAAACGGAGAATAGTATGAAAAGTAGAGTAGTATGAAAAGAATCTGAACATTACTATGAGAAAGTGAGATATATTTTACTAAGCAGCTATTTATGAGGTCAATTTCCTTATGCATTAGTTATGTGGTTCCCACCATTAAAGTAAACGTGGCTGAATATAAGGAAAATAAAGATATTTTAACGATGTTTCAGGAAACAAAAGAATGAAATTTGGTAGGGAAGTCTTCTATAAATGTTGTATAGAACACCCTGAATTATAGCTAATATAAAACTCCAAGGCAGAAAAATAGCATTTGGCTAAGAGAAGGGGCTGAGGAAAGGTCTGAAATGCCACAAAAACAGGCTTTCAAGTTACTATCAATAAGTTCGGGTAGGGTGCTATAAAAAAAAAAATGATGGCCTAGGGTGATCTGGCTCAGTGGGTAGAGCGTCGGCCTACAGACCGTAGGGTCCCGTGTTTGATTCTAGTCAAGGGCACATGCCCATGTTGCAGGCTTGACCCTCAGTAGGGGGCTGCAGGAGGCAACCAATCAGTAATTGTCTCTCATCTCTGATGTTTCTTTCTCTCTCTCCCTTCTCCCTTCTTCTCTGAAACCAATAAAAATATATTAAAAAAAAAAAAGCCCTAGCCAGTTTGGCTCAGTGGATAGAGTGTCAGTCTGGGGACCAAAGAGTCATGGGTTCAATTCCTGTCAAGGGCATGTACCTTGGTTACAGGCTCCTCCCCAGCCAAGGCCCTGGTTGGGGCTTATGTAAGAGACAACTATCGATGTTTCTCTTACATCAATATTTCTCTCTATCTTTCCCTCTCTCTGCAAAATCAATGGAAAAATACCCTCGAGTAATGATTAAAAAAAAAATGATGAATTTCTGTTCAAAGAAAAGGGAAATGAGAAACTGTGATCCTGGAATAGCAGAAACTGTGTATCCCACTTAGCTAAGAATGAAGTCAGCTGATCAGTAAGGCATATGTGAAAGTGTCACCAGAGGTGGCAAAAAGACAATAAAATTTACTGTGCCCGTCTAAAAAAACAATGTTAATAACAGAAATTGGTTAAATTTGGTTACAGAGAAATAATATTTAATATGCAAATATAACAAATATATAACTTAAATTACTACAAAGCTCAAATATGACACCATCTGCTAAATGTCAAGGTTACCCATCTGTTAGGCAGCGCAGTTACTGAGGACAATGGCCAGCTCCATGTACCTATAATCCTAAGATACTTAATAGCTTTTTCAGTCAAGCAGTCTTAATGATCTGCCTAGGAAATCCTGGCTAACAGTAATATGGCTAACAGCATTGCCTGACTTGATTATAAGCATTTATTTACTTGCTAGCCTGTTTGCCAGAAGAGCCAAGAAGCAAATAAGTGGTCCCTGTGAGGAGAAGCAGAGGCCATGAATAATCCATCACCTGGAGCATTAGCACCTGCACAATTAATATTTGACTGTATTGGCAAAATGATTAATCACTCCATAGTTGATAGTACTCTGTCTTCACATACCTAACATGTAATTATTGAAAGTACATAATTACCTATTTAAGAAAGTAAATGAGTTACTATCAGAAAGAAATAGGCCACTTGAGACTATTGGGAAGTTAAAACTATGAATTGTTTTTAAAATGAACAGAAAATAATGTATACACGAAAGCATGAGAGCAAGAAATATAGGTTAAAATTGATGATTTATAAAACGAGTTTTATAATGAATGAAGAGGTTACATAGTACAAGTAAACTTTCCCTTACTCCATAAACAGAAGTGAGAACAAAGGGCAATATACTACATTCGATTTATTTGTCTGCTGTTGTTTTTTAACTGTTTTTTTTTAATTTTTTTTTTTTTTGTGTGTGTGTGTGTGGTATTGTTGTTGTTTTTTTGTAAAAGATATGTGACCATTCAAGAAGAAGAAAAACTCATTAGAAAGAATATATGCACCCCTATGTTCATAGCAGCACAATTTACAATAGCCTAAGTGCCCATTAGTAGATGAGTGGATAAGAAAATCATGATAGATACATCTGCACAATGGAATACTACGCAGCAATAAAAAAGAAAGAACTCTTACCATTTGCAACAGCATGGATGGACCTGGCGAGTATTATGCTGAGTGAAATAAGCCAGTCAGAGAAAGATAAGTATCACATAATCTCACTCAGACGTGGAATCTAATGAACCAAATAAACTGATGATCAAAAACAGACACAGAGTCTAAGAAGCATGAACAGACTGTTGAGCCTCAGAGGGAAGGCAGGGAGAGTGGATGGGAAGAGATCAACCAATGAACTTGTATGCATATATGCATAACCTGTGGACACATACAATGGGGTGGTGAGGGCCTGGTGGGGGGAGGATGGGAGAGGGATGGAAGAGGTTAATGGGGTGGGGGGAGAGGAGGATTTATGTAATACTTTCAACAATAAAGATTAAAAAGAAAGAAAAAAAGAACTGAATCTTATAGGAATAAACTGTTGTACTTCTTAAAAAAAAAGAATACATTCTCCCTGCATAGAAAGTTTAGACATCTTCAAAGAATGAGAGAACCTAAAAATAAGAGCTTGGGCATCTACAAATTCCATATGAATTTTACAAAAATAGTAACAGCTTAATCAACTCCAGTTAGAACTCATTAGCTATGTGCATTTTTCTGTTACTTATCTACACTATAAGCCCCCCCCCCCAATTTTTTTTAAATTCAGTTCAAACTGTCAAAATAAATGCCCCCAAACAAAGTGTTTTGACAGAAATTTCGGAAGAATAGAGAGCAAAGAAAACACTGAAATAATGCTAATGGATAAGAGTGCATTTCAGGAGCCCCCAAAGAATCCAATCATGTTGGGGATAGGTTTTTGGGACGGAAAAACTAAAACATGAATCCTCACGGTAGCTACAGGTTACTTTACCTCAAGGTGACTTTACCAAGAAAGAAATGATTTTTAAAAAGCAAAACACATACAGGAAAACGACCTCCTTCCCCAATACCAGAAAATGAAAGCTTACTTGTGAATGCACACTTATGGTAATGAGGTTTTCTTCCCCCAGTTCTTACAAGTAAGGGCTATCCCTGGGCCTGGGCCTGGGCCTGCCTGGGTATCTCCAACCCAGGCCCCAGCAAAGAGCATTCACCTCCCAGATCCACTAGACGCAGCACGTTTGCGTATTCCATTAATGCTGGCAGCCTGGGTGGAAACAAGCTTGTTTCTCCTGGTCCTATAAAGATTAGACTGTTCTGTACAGAGAACATTTTGAAGGCTGCCAGAGGGGAGGGTTTTGGAGGGATGGGTGGAAAAGATGAAGGGATAAAGTACAAACTGGTAGTTACAGAATAGTCACAGAGATGTAAAATAAAGTACAGCATATGAAATAGTCAATAATATTGTAATAACTATGTATAGTGTCAGATGAGTTCTTGATTTATCAGGGTGACCACTATGCTGTACACCTGAAACTAATATAATATTAATTAAAAAATAAAAAATTATTTAAAAAAAGAAAAGATTGGACTGTTCTGGGAATGAATTAACATCCTCTACTCCCACAACAGCCCTAATCTAAGGATGCAGTTGTCTAGATTTCAGTGTGCTGGATACAAGCAAGATACCAGAAGAATATAACTGATATGCAGACTACATGTACACCTCCAAATCTCCAGGGATCAAAGACTGCAGGACTTTATGATTAAATCAGTCTTCTCTTTAACAACATTGCATATTTGGGGTACATTTCTCACTAATAACCCTCTTCCTACAGTAAATATGCATTTTATCTGAGCTACACTGATGTGAAATAGGATTCCATCTTTAGATATAATATTTATGTGAGAAAGAAAAACTGACTGGCATTTGTTAGTGCTGATATTATTTTATTTCAGTCTATATGAACACTTACCTCTTTGACACTGTGTGTTACTGCCCATATTAGAAAAACTCTTGACATCACTTGGAAAGAAGTCAGGACAACAGAGGATGGAACAATTCCTGAAAGAAATTTTAGGATGGATAAATACGTTAGGTTTATTTACTAAGTTTCAACATGAAATAAATTTTCTAAATAAATTCTCTAAAACATATAATTTTAATGTTTGGACACAAAACCATCTTCAAACTGAAACTTATCTTTATTGCTATATAGACTGTTTTTCAATGTAGTAAATATTTAAAAAAAATTCCTACTTAAAAACAACAATATAGTTAATTACAATAGCAAACCATGGAATCTAGGTATTCTTCTTAAGCCTGACCAAGTGAAATATTTTTTACATTTACCATATAGGTACATAAAATAAAACCATTGATTAACCTTTAAAAACAGACACTGAAAATTCATTAATAACATGGGTTTTAAAAATGAATAGGCACCTATAGAAGGAAAATCAACCTGCATATTTGGGGTATATTTCCCACTAATAGCCCTATTCCTACAGTGAGTATGAACTTTAGTGGTAAATATACCCCAGTACGTATTTGTATCTATTGAATGTTGGAAGCTCCTAAATATCAGACTTGTTATACTATCTAATGGTTATGTTGGTATCTTTTATATTCACTTGAAGATTTTGCCAACAAGCATAACAAAATCAAAGTTTATCTTTACAAACCATTTCTTCTCACCTTGTTTATTACAGTAAGCATGGGTACAATTATCCTCCCAATGTCCTCAAGTTAGGTTTAATTATTTTAAGTACGCTTCAAGCTCGGCTAAGTTTGCATTTCTTTGGCCTCTCCCTTCGATTTCTATAACCACAATCTCTATCTAGAGACCAGCTATCACCATTGCATAAAATTCTTGCCTCCTTTAGGTCATCTTAAACCCAGCAATAAGCCATATCTACAAACATCATTTTCTCTTGTAACTTTACCTTGGCAAGGGACTACTACTAAAATAAAATCTAAAAGCTGGATTATAGGTATACAATCCAACAGCCCCCCACTGTTACTCTGGCTTTACTGTTGCAGCAACTAGACTTACCAACTTCTCAGATCTATTGAGTTGCATGTGGGCCACTCCACACCTGCCAGGAATCTCTCACCACACTCCCAGATCCTTCTTCCACTTTAAAACTAACCTCATTTTCAACACGTTTACTGGGCTATCTCAGACCAATGTCTAAACCCTCTAAAATGCACTCAGACTTCTGGACATTTATATAGTTGGACAAACTATAATTTACCAAAAGACCATGTACAAATCAGAAATATAACTTACTGCCTCTATAGGTTTGGCTATGAAAGAAATCACTTTGTAACTCTAAAGAAAAAGAGATGCTGTAAACTGTTAGAATGAGTTTCTGAAAGAGGATTTACATTGCCCTGCTCAGTTGTTTAGAGCATTGTCCCGATAAGCCAAGGTTGCAGGTTTGATCACCGATCAGGGCACATAAAGAAGCAACCAATGAATGCATAAATAAGTGGAACAACAAAGTGATGTTTCTCTCTCTCTCTCTTCCTCTCTCTCCTTAAAGTAAACCAGTCAATAGAAAAAAATATTTTAAAAAATATTTGGGCTTCAAGAGGGATGGTTTGGTTCCCAAAAGCAAAACAAGTAACATGGACATGTTAAGAAAGTGCTTAGCAAATAAAAATGCTTAATAAATCTCTGTAAAATGAATGCAAGAAATATATTAATATATGGACATACAGGTCAATGGAATAAAGTTGGGAGCCCAGAATTATGGTTACATGATTTTCAACGTAAGTGCTAAGATAATTCAATGTTTTTCCCAACAAACGGTGTTGGGACAATTGGATAGCCCCATGCAAAAGAATGGATAGAGTTAGATCATTTCCTTATACCATATATAAAAATTAACTCAAAATCGATCAAAGTTCTAAATAGAAGAGTTAAAACTATAAAATTGTTGGGAAAAAAGACATGTAAATCTGTGTGCCCTTGGATTAAGCAATAATTTATTAGGTATGAGAGACAAAAAAGGCACAAGAAAATATAAATAAATTGGACTTCATCAAAATTAAACTCAAGTTCTTTAAAGGACATCATGAGAGTGAAGAGACAACCTACAGATAGGAGAAGATATCTGCAAAGGAAGGACTTATTTCCAAAATATATAAAGAATTCTTATAAGTTAATGATAAAAAGACAAATAATCTAATTTAAAATGTGGGCAAAGGATTTGAATAGAGATTTCTCCAAAGAATGTACATGGCCATTAGTTATTAGGAAATGCAAATGAAAACCATAATGACCTATCTTTTACATCACTAGGATGGCTATGATAAAAAAAAAAAAAAAGAGAGGAAGGGAAAGACAGATAGAAACATCAATGATGACAGAGAATCATTGGTCAAGCCTGAAATACAGGCATGTGCCCTCACCAGATAATAACATGCAAAAGAATGGAGTTAGAACACTTCCTTACACCATATATAAATATTAATGAGGACATCTTGATATTGGAACCTTCATACGCTGCTGATAAGGTTATAAAAGGGTGCAGCCAATCTAAAAAACAGTCTGGCCAGGTCTCAAAGTGTGAAATACAGAATTACTACATGACCCAGTAATTCTACTGTAGATGTATAAATACATATCCAAGAAAAATGAAAAAATAAGTCACACAAAAGTGGAAATAATCAAAATGTCCAACAGATGAATGAATTAAATGTGGTATACTTATACAATAAAACTTTAGAAATAAAGTAAATAAAAAGTAATAGATAAGTAAAAAGAAATGAAGTACTGACATATACTACTCTATTGATGAACTTTGAAAACATTATGCTGAAAAAAGCCAGTGACAAAAGACCATATGTTACATGATTCAATTTATATTAAAGTCCAGAATAGGCAAATTATAGGCATCAAAAGTAGATTACCAGGTTAAAAGGGTAAGGAACTGACTGCCAGTGGACAAAGGATTTCTTATAATAGAAGTAAAGCCTTGGTAATTACGGAATGTTTGGGATTTTAGAGGCCCTTTAGCTTCTGCATAGAAAAAAAAAAAGGCAAATGCAAGATTTCATTTTTACTGGTAAGGACCACATCTTTATCCATTCATCTATTGATGGGACACCAATGTTGCTTCCATATTTTGGCTACTGTAAAAAACTCTGCAACAAACATAGGGGTACATATAAGGGTTGGATAAAAGTAAGTATACAGGTTTGAGTATGCAAAATAGAGTTCATTCTTGTATTATTTATTAGTTATTGCATTATTTTCCAAACAAATAACTGTAAACCAACTTTTATCCCTCCCTGTATCTTTCTGAGTTAATGGGGTATGTGTGTGCGTGTTTTTAAATAAATAGCCAGAAGTGGAATTGCCCTGGGTCAAATGGTAGTTTTATTTTTAATTTTTTAAAGGAATTTCTAGTGTTTTCCACTGTGCCTACACCAATTCACAATACCACCAATAGTGCTGAAGGGTTCTCTTTTCTCTACATCTTAGACAACACTTGTTATTTGTTGACTTTTGGATAACAACCATCTGAGAGGTATGAAATGGTATTTCATTGTAGTTTTGATTTGCATCTCCCTAATGATTAGTGATGCTGAGCAATCTTTTCACATGCCTGTGGCCATTTGCATGTCTTCCTTGGAGAAATGTTCTCTCCTCATTTTTACTGGTAAATGTTTTTTGATGTTGAGTTGTATGAGTTTCTTATATATTTTGATTATTAACCCATTGTGGAATATATATGTTGTGACTATCTTCCATTCAGTAAGTTGTCTTTTTGTTGTGATGGTTTCCTTCACTGTGCAGAAGCTTTTTAGTTTGATGTAGTCCATTTGTTTATTTTTGCTTTTGTTTTATTTGCCAGAGAATACATATCCAAAAAGATACTACTAAGACTGCGGTCAAACGCTGATGTGACTCAGTGGTTGAATATCAACCTATAAACCAGGAAATCATGGTTCAATTCCTGGTGAGGGCACATGCCTGTGTTTCAGGCTTGACCAATGATTCTCTGTCATCATTGATGTTTCTGTCTTTCCCTTCCTCTCTGAAATAAATAAAAATATATTTTAAAAGACTGAGGTAAAAAAAAAAAAAGTTTACTATCTATATTTTCTTCAATAAATTTTATGGTTTTAGGTCTTACATTTAAGTCTTTAATCCATTTTGAGTCTATTTTTTGTATATGGTATGAGTTGTCTAGTTTAAAATTTTTTGGCATGTATTTGTCCAGTTTTTCCAACACCATTTATTGAAGAGACTATCATTTTTCTATTGTGTATTATTGCTTCCTTTGTCATAAATTAATTGACCATATAAGTGAGTTTATTTCTGGGCTATTTTGTTCTATTGATCTATATATCTGGTTTTGTGCCAGTGCCATATTGTTTTAACCATAGGTTTGTAATTATAGCTTGAAGTCAAGAAGCATGATACATTCAACTTAGTTCTTTCTCAAGATTGCTATAGCTATTCAGGGTCCTTTGAGGTTCCATATAATTTTTAGGATTTTTTTTTTGTTCTCACTCTGAAAAAAATCCCATTGGTATTTTGATGGGGATTGCACTGAATATGTAGATCGCTTTGGATAGTGTGGACATTTTAATGATATTAATCCTTAAGTATATATTTAAATACTTAAGTATATATTTAACTTATATCATTTATACTCTCTATAGTTTGTTTTTCTCAATTAAAATTTTATCTTAAAACACATTCTTGCCCTAGCTGGGGTGGCTTAGTTGGTTTGGAATGTCCTCCCATCTACCAAAAGGTTGCAGGTTCAATTCCTAGTCAGGTCCCATAACTAGGTTGCAGGATTTTTGTTGTTGCTAATTACTTAAATTAATTGGCTGGCGACTGCTGCTCCAAATGTTTCCTAAACCAGAGATCACCAGCCTTTGGGACCTCATAGACCACCAGTGGTCTGCTGGTTTACAGACAACAAAAAGGAGATTCTACAATTTATCAGCAAGATGAAAATTCACTCAAAAAAGATTTACTACTAGGCCTCTATTATTCATTAATTTGATTTAAAATCTCTAATTCAAAAAATATTTTT